CTGTTGAAATCAATCAAAACGCTCCGTTGCTACCCTGGTGATTGGGCTTGTGCTGCTTAAGCACCGTTGTTTGCCACTGTAACTGTGGGGGTACTCTGATGTGTCCTACGTTTTTTGTTGTTTTCCGGGCCCCGAAAATGGGCTCGTAAAGCTCGTCGAAAGTGTGGCAGGGTAGGGAAGCCCTGGACGGAGGTTTTCAGGCCTGGAGAAGTGTTGGGAGGGACTTGGCAAGGCTGCGGTGCATGAATAGTAGACGCCTTCAAATAGTGCCCGAATAGTGCCCGAATAGTGCCCGAAATAGTGCCCGAACTAGTGCCCGAATGAACCCTTCATAGTGCCCAAATGATTTTTCGCGAAGAAAAAGGAGATTTTCCTTCCTTTACGAAAGGAAATGTATTTGGGCACTATGAAGGGTTCATTCGGGCACTATTTCGGGCACTATTTCGGGCACTATTCGGGCACTATTCGGGCACTATGCCAGGTGGAGGCTTGGGCGGCATTATCTGGAGGGCTAAGGGTTGGGAGGCCTGCAGGACCACCAAAACACTGGAAATGCGCACGAAGAATAGGAATTTGTGCTGCAGGAGGCATTGGGGAGTGATCTGCGGGGCAGGGTTTGGAATGCAAAAGGGGGGGTTTAGGGAAGGATCTGCAGAGTTTAGGGCAGGATCTGCAAGGCAGGATTTGGGGGAGGGTCCGCAAGCAAGCGTTTGGAGGAGCATACACGAAAAACATGAGGGGTGGCATGTGCAAAAAATTGTAGGGTAGTCTATCTACAAGTTTACGGGGGCCTTGGCCATGCGAGGGTTTAGGGAAAGATCAGGCAGGACTTCGGGGAGGATCTATAACGAGACTTTATGAAGGAGTTATGGTTTTTATCGAGTGCAGCAGCAGTCAGTCATTGACAGTCTTCTTGTTTGCATATTCAGAAACCTCCCCCCCGCCCCCTGAATTTCAATGTGTGCCGCAATGTGTGCCGCAATGCTCATTGGGCGCTTCTATGTAAACATTGAATTTGGGGGGAGCGGGGGGTCTGGAAGGTTTCAAGATTTGTGGACAAACAATTCCAAAATTGTACTATCGCGCGAGGCCATTTTCAGTGTTCGAAAAACCACGAAAACTGAGGACGCATTAAGGTACCCCCATAGTAATGCAGAGACCGGCGCCGCGCACCGGGTGGTAGCCGAGGGCACTTCCTTTACCGATTACATTTCGGAACGGCTGCAAGGCTTTCCCTCGCCGGAAAGCTACCAAAGAGCAGGCCGAGACTGTTCCATTTCTTCTCTTCACAACGAGCTCGGCGTGTTCATTGACCTCTTTACCACCACCGCTGGTGCTGTGGACATCTGTTTAGCGGACAAGGGGCCGGTTCACTATAACCGGAGAGAACGCACACCAGCGGCTAACAGCAGGCAGCACACGGCCTACCAGCCCGCTGATTATTGCATCTCGCTCACATTGGTGGGAGATTATCGCCGCTCTCGATCTTCACGCCACGCTCCACCAAACCTTTATCAGTTGGAAGGCTCTATCAGTCCGGGCTGGCACAGCTTGGACTTCAGTGCCTGCCTGACTGTGACACGGCTGCGGAGTCTATGCGAGGTGGTTTGTCAATTGCATACCGCCGCTCTGCGACTCCTATGCTTTGGTCGCTCACTGTGGAGTACCAGACTACCCTGTGCAACTGCTCCTTCGCGGTATGGACTTCGTGAACAGCGGTCCCTCCGGGCGACCAGTTACAGTGCGTCCGTGATCGACACCAGGCACCCAGTTATTGGGTTGCTGGAGCTTACCGATCCGCCCCGCATTCGGCTCTACCGCCTCCGATCTCACGCGCAGGCGACTGTGTGCAGAGGCAAGGCGGCAGCCTCTGACATGCTGGCTATCTTTCTGCTATTGCCACGGACACCATCAGCCTGACGCCGATAAAGCGGCTCCAGCACTTTGTTTCTACATTGCTGCGCGATACGAGCCAGCTTGATGCCCTTCTCCCGCCGGTTGCTCCAACTGGCCTACCGCGTGCCATACCGCAGGCTTTGCTAAGCATTGCTGAGCTTCGCAGCCAAAGCTGTGCTGCTTCTCCCAAAGCCCCTAGTGCCTCGTGGGAGGCAAGGGTGGCTGCACTGCTGAACGCCGTGGAAGTCCCACCTAGTCGGTTGTTGCCTGGTGTCCACGCCATTTCCAGCAACTGCATCCAGCCTGAAGATGAGGATGACTTCGAGGAGCAGCACGACATCCTCCGTCGCTATCAGGCAAGCCCAGACAGCAATCAGACGTTGAAGGCCCTGCAAGCGCGGTTGCGCTGTCCCAACTGCTCCCCGACCGGATGGACTGTCTTTCCCTTCTTCCGCTGGCCCTCTCCTTGCCGGCGTGCGAAGTTAAAGTCAGCCCTCAGAACTTCGGAGCCCGAGTGGTTGATTTTGCGGATCGTGCGCTAATGCTTCATCACTGTTCGGAAAGTAAAGCTTTCCGCGTGTGCCTCACTCCCTTGCTTGCAGTCTCCGTTGCGCTAGCGCAATTCTGCGACTCTGTGTTGCGGTTGCCCGAAGGGCGCGTCTTCGACCTTTCGTGGTATGAATTGGCTCGCCCGGAGATCTGGTGGTGGTTCTTCTTGGACGAGCTCGAGGGTCTTAAGTTCTCGCTCCCTAGTGCCAAGGCAGGCCATAAGTCGCCCGTACGCGATGGCAGCCTTATTCAAACGTCTCTTGCACCCAAGCGAGCTCCCCAGCCCACAGGCAGGCGCCGTGGCACTGGATCAGGCGCCCGGCGTGCAACCGGGGAAAGCAGCTCGAGCGTTGACCCGAATCAGGGCACGCCCTTGCTTCACTGTGGTGTGCTGTTGCCGGTGCAGTTGGTGTTTTTCCTTGCACGGGCCCTAGTGGATGAGCCTGCAGCTGCTCCCTTGCTGCAACTTGTACGCATCTCCCCAGTCCGTCAGAATGACCAGCGTTCCCTCGAGGTACGGGTTCGGGCGGAAGTGCCTGCCTCCCTGGTTGGGCGGCCGCAAATCGCTATTGCCGAACGGCTGATGGATGGCTTCCATCGTGGGCTTCTCCCTGCCAGGCGGGGTGACTTCGACCCCCAAATGTTCTCTTACCCGGGCGTGTGCAAAGGCACTTTTCGACTCTTGCTCCCGCTGGACGATGTCCCCCTGGGTCTGCGAGCGCAGCCGTCGCTCCCCATCCAGTCCGCTGGTCTTCTACACGCGGCCCTGTGGCGCCTTCGGGCGGCTGCTACCACCTCTGGATGGGATCTTTCCGCGGTGGTTGTGTACTGGCTGAGAGGTCCTCAGAACAAGGACTTCTATTTCCCGGCCCGCCTGTGGCGCCACGCGTATTTCGACGCGTGGGATACGAGGGCCAAAGTTCTCATCCACCACTTGGTGGCCCAGGAGTCGAACGATAAAACCATGGCCGATGGAAGCCGCGCCTGGTATCGACTAGGTGACCCTTGGGGCCAGGAACGCTGGAGAGACGAAGCGCAGGCCTTCATTGAAAGGGGTGGACTCGGCCCAGGCATTCAAATCCCGTTTATCTCCACGGAGTTGATGCCTCATCTTCATGAGGCGGATCAAGATTCACTCCATTATGGCTTTCACCGCCTCCAAGATCTGTATGAGCAGCGCAATTACCAGCTGCTGTACCTCTTGCGTGAATCCCACTTTCCGCCCAGCGGCAATGATATGCAGCGCCGGCTAGATGCCTGGCCACCGCCTGCGACATTGGAAAGTGCCCGGTGACGACGTGGGAAGCATCCCAACAGCCAGAGTCGCCTATGACCATCGACATACGTCGTAGGGTCTTTCCTTGAGATTGCCGCTGGACGGGAATTCCACCGTGGACTTGTGGACTTTGTGCGCACGATCGTGACACAACAGGACCCCGGGGCCGTCCGTTGTTCGACGGAACTAGAACGGCGGCCGGAGCTTCGACTTTGGGCTCCACCGGTGGGCCTGGACAGCTCTAGGCGACGGCCTTTTGCTGTTGTGGATCGGTCGCTGAGGCCCCGTAGCTCGTGCTGAACGGCCAACACCGGCAAAGCCTGTGCGCCGCAGCCACAATGGTCCCCTGCGGGGTCGCGCGACATAAGCGCGAAGCCGCGCGAAGCCACGCGAAGCCAGGCGCGAAGCCAGCCCACGCTCGCGGAAGCCGGGAGAGAAGCCACGCCGCGCGAAGCCATGCGAAGCCACGCGAAGCCACGCGAAGCCACGCGGAGTCGCGCGAAGCCGCGCGAAGCCGCGCGAAGCCACGCGAAGCCGCGCGAAGCCACGCGAAGCCACGCGAAGCCACCCCTTGCGCGAAGACATGCGCGCGAGGCCGCGCGAAGCAACGCGAAGCCACGCGAAGCCGAACGACGCCACCCCTGCGAAGGCAATTACCGTTAGCCTGATGCACAACAAAACACGCAAAGTGCAATTCCTCACTAGCTCGTCGCAATATTTCTGCCTTGGCATTTTACTGGTTTTGCTTTTTGCTCCTTGCATGCGTTTGCTTTGCGCTCCGCTTTCTGCTGCTTGCTGCTCTCTTTGCTTTTTGCTCTGTTGTGCTTTTTGCTTCCGAACCCCCGGTATGAAGTTCTCATCTACAGCCGTGGGGGGGGGGGGGGGAAAAACAGGGTTCGCGTAATTCTCATGGGGGGGTTCACTGAAAACATGGTGTTTTTTGATCCACACACCTACCCGAAAATATTTGGGCCACCGGACAGGCATTTGGTCTCGAAGTGTGACTTTGGCCATTGGACTGGAAACTTTTAGGGTTTGAGTCTAGGGTCGACAAAATTGTGTGGCTTGCGTTGTGTTTTTAAGTCTCGAGGTATGTTGTTTTGTGAGATGTGTGTGATGTGTGTGTTCAGCCCCTCGTCAGATGTCGCGTCGCAGCCGTTTGCAAGCACGTAAATTTACTCGACTACAACAAAACTGCCCTAAACCCTAGGCCCTAAACACCCTAAACCCTAAACCGTCACAAAACCGTTGTTGTCAGCCGTTTGCAAGCACTTTAAGCATGGAGCCTGATTTGGAACGAATCAGCACACCAGAAGCTACCAAGAAAAGACGGCAGTACAAAAAGAACGAGGCGGATGCCGCTCGTGCTCGGCGTGAGCCGCCTGTGTTCGTTCCGTTTTGTGCAAGTGACATAGCTGATGCAGAAGTGTCTGGTGAAACTGTGCAGTGTGTCGGGGTCCACTACTTGGTGGAGTTCGCAGAGTCGCTGCAAAGTGCTCCGGATGCGTGTGCGGCCGGTGAGTTGGCTTCGCATCAAGATGCGTGGATGTCTCGACCTTTGCGACGACGGGACCGGGAAGCCCAGGACTCGCAACTTGGGAAAGGTTCAGCGTCGCTCACCGGCCAATTTTGTAAGCTGCACGTCGCCAATGTGTTTCACTTCCCGGCCCGGCGGTGCATTTTGCGAAAGCAAGATGCATTCCCCGGCAAGCAGATCGTGCAACAGCACCCTGTGTCCGAACACTGCCGACAGCATATGAGAGCCTGCGGAGCCCCCTTCCGTGCCATCCCTGCCTCTGCAGCCTGCAAACACTGCAGGCCCCGCTGAGGCAGGGGACACTGAAGAGGCTCCTGATGGTGCCGGTGTAGGGGACGATTTAGCGGATTTTCTTTGGGATGTGCAGGTCTCGACAAAAGGCAAGGCCATCCGAAGGCGCCCCATGACCGAGATTCTGATGGGAAAACTCTGCTATTCCTTGAGCTCCACAGCGGCCGTGGCTGAGGTGGTGCAAACTGTGCTTCGAATGATGGATGTGCTGGCTGAGAACACGAACCAAGAAGACGTGAATCCCTCCAAGAGCCACGTGCGAACGATTCTCGTGAAGCTGGATTGTTTGCACAGCTTGAGCCGGAGGGTTTTCGCGAAGCCGAACCAGCCAGATCGAAGAACGGTCAGGTTTTTGTCGGCAGACAGCAGTACGCAAGCAAACCGACTACTTCCTGGTCACAGAAGAACTGATGCCTAGAGACAGTGTCCATCGTGTGCCAGTGGATGCAAGCGGGCAAGTAGATCCGTGGAGAGGGTTCGCCGTGGAACGGAGGACCATGGTAGTGACCACCATCGCTCGAGGTGAGAGCTCGGCAGCTCTGAAGACCATGCGAGTTCTGCACATCATATGCCTGGAGAACACAGCGGTTGCTCTCCCACAGTATAGACGAGGCGAAGTGAGAGGTTTCTTGTCGGATCAGGGGACGGAGCGGTTGATCTGCAAATACCCCTTAGATATTGCAGCCAACGTCAGGGAGGCAGTGCGGGGATTTGCCAGGGACACAGGAGCTGCCGCCGCCGCCGCCGCACATGAGAGGGTGCGAGCACTACCTTTTTTTCAGGAAGCCTTGGAAATACCTGGTTCTTTGCACGTGGTGTTCAACACCCTGGAGGCTGTAGTGAAGAGTGTACCTGAGTTTGAGGTACTGCACAAGCAGCTGAACACGGTGTGCAGGTTGCTCACACCCCGCAGCTACCAAGAAGTAGTCGAGGTCAAGATGCTCGATGCGGGGGCCCCTGCGGGGGCGGGCACAGCAGCAGACAAGCAGGCATTGCATAGCTTCCGCGACAACCTCCTCGAATGGCGATGGGACAGTTTGCATCGTGTCCTGAGCCAGTGGGCCCCTCTTCGGTTGGTGCTGCTGAGGCACTGGAGGCCAGAGGAATTTGGCTCCGATGTGCATATTGCAAAGCAGATCACGGAGATTCTTGAAGATGGCATGCATGGTTGGATGGTTGTGTGGGCTGGGAAGTTCGCGGAGGCGGCAACCCGGCTTGCACATTGGATCGAGGGTTGCTTCTGCCACGAGAATATATTGGTTTCCCAGCCAGCCTCCAAACGGCGAAAGACAATGATGGAAGAAACTGGATCTGGCACTTGTTGCTGGAAGGGGAAGAGGCTTCCAGAGCTGGCCTGCGGGAAGATGACGGACCTCATCCAGTACTTTACAAACCAGGCCCGCGCAGAGTACATCTCGGAGATGCTCGCTGCACCGGCTGATGTCCGAGCACGTGTTACGGCGATAGATGCACTCGCGACAGAGCAACTTCGCGTGGTCCTCGAGCAGAAGTTTGCATATGCACAGACCATCCCTTGGGTGGTCTGTGCAGCATATGGGGGGTACACTGGCATCCCCTGGGCTCGTTGCAAGGCCGCCATTTCGGAAGGCTTTCGTCAGTATTCCCAGGCGACAACAGGTGGTGCTCTTGTGGATGCAGTGTCCTTTCGAGCCTTTTCCGGTCAGACGTTGGAAAGCCGGCAGCTGAAAGCTTTTGCAGACTCGGAGTTGCCCCTGCACCATTATGCCGAGGCGTGGACCCTGGTGCAAGAGTATTCTTTCTGCAGCCTCGCGGAGCGAGGCACAGAGAGACAGCACTCCGAGATTCGCAATGCTGCGAGGAGAGGCCAGCGATATGCCGGCCCTGCGGTTGTTGCGAGCCGGAAGCGAGAAAAGCAGGTCGTGGCCATGATTGGTGATCCCCAGCAGCTGCAGTTTCTTGTAGCACACTGGCGTGATAGGCAGATCTGGGAACACCTGCTTGAGCATTGCTTGCCGAAGCAAACAGTCAGGCGAATGACAGTTGTGCAGAGATTGGCGAAGGTGTATGCATACCACCCAGACCAGCACTTCATGGACGTGAGCGAGGAGGCAACTGCCCAGGCCGTGTACCAAAAGGCGTTGCTGGATGCCTCGGCTGCTCACTGGGCACCAGCATGGAAGAAGCGGATTTCTTTCAATCGCTTCAAGCTGCGAATAGAGGAAGCTTGGTTCAAGACCCGTATATTAATGCGGGTTCTGCACCTGCCCAGCCCCTGCGCTGACTGTTGGGATCTGTCTGCCACGCTGGAGAAGTCCGTGGAGCGCTTCAAGCCCAAGATGCGTACACGGCGGCGTGACCAGGCGTGTCACCGTGGCCAACAGGTGACAGGCCTCGTCCTGGATGGTCATATGTCAAGGCAGGCCGCCGACGGCGGTGTGGGGTGCCCCTCATCCACGGCCTCTGGTGCAAGCCGTTGCAAGCGTGGTGCCTCACGAACTGTCCCGACACTCCAGCGAGAAAGTCACTGCTGTGTAAGCACCATGCGGAGATGGCGCAAATGGACGAGGCTGACCCGATCCGTGTTCAGATTGTTGACGTCCAGCGGAAACAGCCTCTGTCTCAGCGAAAGACAGATTTGCTGGCCGTCCGTGTGAGACAGAGTGGCACTGACCGTCTGCGGCACCATGACCTCCGCAACTGCACTCAAGCGTGGACGGCAGCCATCCAGCAGCACCTCTGCAAATGTGCAGCTTCGCTGCCTGACAGTGCTGCAGGCATCAGAGCTCCTGCTGATGCAGACGGCGATGACCAGTTCCAGGGCACAGTGTTCCACGACGACCTTACTCTGCAAGAGTTGAAGGATCTCACCTGCCGCACGCACAAGCACGGCAGTACCAGCAGCAACCACAAGACTCCGTGCCGGGACAAGAATGGGGGTTTGCTGGTGGCGTGCCACTCCAATCGTCTTATTCTTGACCTGACGGAGATCCACGGAGCTGAGTCACTTCCTCAGCGGTACTGCTTTCTGGCACGTCTCAAAGAGACGTTTCCCTCGCTCCGTGTGGTGGTCCACGATGACCCATGTCATCTCCGTCAATTCGCAGACAACCGTGCCACGTGGAATTCCATGGCAGCGAGCCTGGCATTTCCCAACGTGCGCTACATCGTGGACAAATTTCACGCAAGTGGCCATGTTGATGAGTGGTGCAGGCTGAACTGCCATCCTGGCCTAGAGGAGAATAAGGCTTGCGTGGAGGAAATCAACACTTCCATCTGCGAGATCACATTTTCATGGCTGGCTCGATTCAAGCAAATGACCCGCAAGATGAACCGTTTTACATACTGGTTTTTTGTCCAGGAAGTAGTGGACGAGCGATATTGTCAGACACTTGACAGCTGCGCCCCGCACAATGCAGCTGTTCAGTTCCCTCCTCCTACAAGAAGCCAGCAAGAGTCCGACAGCGAGGCCGAGTCTGTATCCGACTCTGCCACTGAGACTGGCAGCGAGCATGATTCGTCCAGCAGTGAAACCGGTTCTGCTGCCTGACTTCCCTCGTCTAATGTGCAAGGGGTGCACGACGCCGACGCCGCCTACGCCACCACCCTCTCCAACCATGAGGAAAAAAAGCTCATGTCGTCTGCTGGTTTGCCTGCAGGAGACTTTAGGACTGTATAGGAGTATGCAGTGGCCATGTTCATGCTTTACGCTGCAACACCGTTGCAGGCGATGCAAGATCGGCGAGATGCCAGCCGAGGCCAAACCTGCCACCTGCTGAATTTCGAAGTGCAAAATAGCTATAGTAACAGACATGATCCCTGTTTACAGCGCAAGGCGGTACACCACGCTCTCCCCCCGTGAAGAGGCAAAAGTTGATATCGTGTCCTGCGACTGCGAGTGGTTTGCCTGCAGCAGATGGCAGTGCCTGACTGTCAGACTCTATATATATAGGACTACAGTAACCGGTGGCCATGCTCAGACTTTTCAGACGCTGCAGCCTTGCAGCCCTTTATTTGTCGCGACACTGTTACAGGCGATGCAAGCTCGGGGACATGCCGGGCCGTGCCTTTACGCCGAGCCGAGGTATGTAAGCCAACTTGACATCTGAAGTGCAAACGCAAAGGACAATAACGAACTGACCGATGTGAGCCTGTCTACAACCCACTCCACCTCAAGCACCCGGCACCGTCATATCTTGTACCCTGTCAGCCAGTTGCAGTTTCGAGCCTGGCTGCAGGCTGATGTGTTTTTGCGCGGCGCCTGCTGCTCGGTGAGCTCGTTTTCCTGCTGTATGTGTACTCCGTCTCGTGCAGCTTAGCAGCGACCCTTCTGTCCTCTGTTCTTCCTTGTCAAGTCCACGCAGGACTTCCAACTCCGGCTTCTGGACTGACGGCCGCGGCTGCGCCCGGCCTCGACGGATTGAGTTAGATGCCTTGGCTTGGCTGCTTTAAGCTTTAAGCTCGTCTTGGATTGAAGATGCTTCGCGCTGGTTTGGCTCCGCTCAGCTCGGCTCGGTTTCGGTCGGCTCGGCTCGGTTCGGCTGAGGCCAGTGGGCTGGCTTGGCTTGAAAACAAGAAGCCCCCGCAGCCCACGGCGCCGGCGAAGCCAGGAGAATCCGTGCGAAGCCGTTCGGAACCAAGCCAAGCCGCGCGACCCCGCGTCAAGCCGCGCGAAACCTATATAGTGAAGCCGAGCGAAGCGTCACGAAACCCGTCCAGGCGCGCGTACCCGCGTGCGAACACAATCGTTTGGACTTGGGTTCATGATTGCTTGTGACTTGCGTGCAGGCTCAACGGATTATATGCATGCCTTGGCTGGGCTGGTATGGCTCGTGGTGGCTGGGGTTGAATTTGTCACGAAGATATGACACATGGTCCAAAAGTAGTGCCCTTGGGTGTTGAACCACCCGATGAAGCTGTCGGTCTGGACAACGACGTTGAGGTTCCGGTAGAGCCGGATAGTTTTGATCTTCGCGGCTGAACACTTTGACCGTACAATTCGACCACACAATGAGATCAAGATGACGACCGCCAGTGGATCACTGCCTTCACCCACCGGCGACTCCGAGATGCATGTGACCGAGCCTTTTTGATTGGCAAAACAGGCGCCCGTGCGTGCACTGTGCGGGGACCAACCGCGGTACTGGCGCACTCTTAGAAAAACTCTGCTGTGCGGTTGCGAGGGCTGGAAGTGTTACGTGAGTGTGTTTTGCCGGTTCTCTCAATCAACCTTGGCATCCTAGTGTGACAGCATGCATCCAACTCTTAGGCAGCCTGGAGCCTGACATCCCAAGGCGCACGAAGCCATTAGCAAGAATCGATAAGCAATGGTTGATATATGATGCCAGTTGCGCAGTGGTAAAGAAAAGCGACAACCCGAACACCAGAGGTCCTCAGACAGGAGCGGCCAAGAATTTTGGTGCTCCAAATCTCTGGAGACGATAGTCCTTGCCTCGTACTGCTGGCACGAGAACTTCGCTTCAAAAACCATGCAAGATGAACGTTTGCACATGTGGTGCATCTTAGAACTGCAAACTGTCGCCTCTAGTCCCTATTGCGGCCAGCATGAAGCATTTGGATGTATGCCGCTTCGAGGAAGGCGTTGCTCGGCGTGTGGAGCCCTCTAGGCGCGTTCTGAGGGGCCATACTGGCGCCTGACATAGGCACCCGAGTGCGAATATAAGCACGTGCTGCTGGCAGCGATGGTTTCTGATGCACATCCTTCCCCAATTTCACGTCCCTGTTCACATGCCTTCGGGAGCTCTTGTTGAGAGAGAGAGGGAGAGACATCGGACTTCTGCCAACATGAATGTTACACGCCCAAAAGCTCCTTCACCCGTATTTCTTGCAGAGAACCTCTGCCCCTGACTCGTGGGATCCCGCGTGGAGAAACGTCAGAGAAACGTGTCTAGCAGCACCCTTAACCCGAAACCACATGGGTAGTTGTCAAGATTATGGTCCCTTTTTGGGTACCCGCAAATATTAGGTGCCGTATTAAATTAAGGACCCAAAAAGGGACCAACAGGTTGACAACCACCCACATGCAGATATTCTGACTTGTTTAGCCATCTGCCGCAATCATCCTCGAAACCCCAAGACTGGGGATCCCCGTTTTCAGGCACCGAATCACGACAGTGCCGGTGCTGGCTTGAAAGTTTGCGAAGTTCTTGCAAGCAGCCACAGTGCTGATTGTGTGCTTTGCAAGGTTGCAGGTAGCAACTGGCTCTTTTTGTTCGACGACAGAAACAGTCAAGTAGTTTGTTGTTGAGGGCTGGTTTCGAGCACCGGACTCGTGCAGGATTCTCGGTGAGCTAAGGCGTTTGATTCACGTTAAACTAACCATCTGGCGCAGGAGTTTGAGATCCGAAGCCTTAAGCCCGACCGCGACCGTAAGCTCGCGGCTAGCGATTGAGGCCAAGCAGCCCAACACCGCTTTGCTCTCATGCGAAGGGTTTTACGGGTCAGGGTTTAGGGTCTCGGAGTCTAGGGTTTCATGGGTCACCGCGCGACTTTCCGAAAGCAAGAACATGGATGGGGCATGATTCGTGCTGGCATTGGTAATGCTTGACCCGGGGGCATGAGGATAATGCAGTGCCCTGTTTTATCACCATAACTCTAGGTGTTTAACACAGACTTGCCTGACCCGCTTCCCCGTGTCTTGTTTCAGCAGCATGTCGATAGTTTGTCGATTTTGGACGTGCCCTAACGAGGGCTCAGAACAGAATACTATTTTGGTGGCTCCTTATTCTAGTTGTTCTGGTATGTTATGGTGTAATACGCCACAAAGCCCTATTCTAATAGTCGATGCCACATTAGGCTTTAGGGGTTATGTTGAAATTTAGTGTTAGGTCCCCTAAACCCTTCATTTGCAAAGCGTCAAGCCTGTAATTTGTCGAGGCTTGGAGTTTCCTGGGCTGAGGGTTTAGGGTTTAGGGTTTAGGGTTTAGGGTTTAGGGTTTAGGGTTTAGGGTTTAGGGTTTAGGGTTTAGGGTTTAGGTTAGAAGTGACTATAAGGATTATATTAGGGCTGTCTTGTATTCCGATTATACCACTATTACAGGGTGGGGGCAGCTTCTAACACATTTGGTATGAAGTGAAACAGGGCCGGCTCGAGCTTCTACAGCGACTTTCTGGTGCCGAATCCCGCTGCAAGCTTGTAGTAGTGCCGTGCAGAGAATGCAGCTTCAAGCTTTTCAGACGTTAAGGGAAGCTTCATTGAGGAACCCTTAAAGTCATCAAGTCGCCATGCCTTAACTGCATCATGTCGGAAGCATCACGTGCCGGTGACCCTGACCATTTCCTCACGGTCTCCCTGGCACTCCAACGGCTCCGAGATGCTGCGCGAGAGGTGGATTCCGAGAAGGGTTTGGAGGCGATGAAGACGCTGCTCCCCATCGGCGGCCCCGACTTGGTCCGTTTCCTGGCGACTGGGTTCTTGTTAAGGAATTTAACTTAAGATATCATCATGGGGATCTCTAGTAAATGATATGGTTTCCTTGCTAAGACAATTTAACTTAAGATACCATGATGGGGATCTATAGTAAATCATATAGTTTCCTTGTTATGGTAACTTAAAGTTAAGATCCTTTAAGCCGGAACCCAGGCGAAGGTGGTGAACACCGGCTATGCAGAGCTGCCTCAATCCAGGCTCAGGCTGGGAGGGGGCTCCAAAAGCCCCCGAGGATCGGGGAGACGAGACTCGCCGGGCTTCCGGGGCCCCAGCATCGTTTCTTTGTCATAGTTGGGTAGAACTTTACATGTTTAAGGGTACTTAAACCCAATAAGGAATAAGAAATTTAGATTTTTAATCCTATCCCAACCATGAACTAGGTTTCCAAGCTTCTGCAACAGTTCGATCTTCTGCTGAACGTCTTCGCAGCTTTGAAGGACCGGGAGATTTTCACCTTCTCGGCTGTCAGCAAGCTGTGCCATGTTTCGGCGAATCAGCCGACTACTTGGCGCTGTCGGATGCTCGTCCTGAACCTCACGAAGAATAAGGAAGTGACTGAAACCGCCACTTTGCAGAAAGCGATCGAGTCCATCAGCAAGCGCCAGGGAGCCTCTATCTGGAGATATGTCCAGGGAATCGTTCTCCCAAGCGGCTTGCGGGGTTTCTCGAAGTATCTTCCTGCAACGATTCATGCGCTGCTGCCGAACATACGCCTGCTTGACCTGGGGACCTTCTCTGCGAACGAGGCTTTGCTGGTGTCCATCCTGGCAGGGTTGAAGAATTTGGAGCAACTCCACGGTGCCAGGGACCTTCGGGTACCTCTGTCTCCGACCCCGGTCATGAGCCCGACGAAGCTGAAAGTCTTGACGGTCCCGAATGCCTTTGTGTTCCACTGTCATACAGTTTGGGCTCTCCTAGCTTCGGTGCTGCCCCGCATAGAAGTGCTTCGTGTGCCGCTGGGCTTCTGGACAACCTTAAACTACGAGATCCGGACGAGCGATGCGGACATGGAGTGCTTGCGGAGCTTGCGCTGTCTTCGAGAATTAGACATTTCAGAGGCCCGATCTGTAGAACAGTGGGAAGCAATGTTGTGGAGGCCTCTAGCCCCAGTTATGCTCATCGTCATTCCTATTGTCGGAGTTTCCATAGTGGCCATATTCAACATGGTTATGACAGCGTCTTGATGATACAAGTACGTTGTTCTTTGTGTAGTGTATGCTTTTCTGCAACACCATCCCGACGCCAACACAAACACGAACTGCAAGAGCAGGGACAGCAACAGAAGTTTCCACGACACATGCGAACCGCGAGAGGAGGCACCGCGACAGCCGCATTATCCTTGCCAAGCAAGTTGAACTCATCGTTGTCAGTTCGATGTCTGTTGGATTCCCATCCATTTGACATGGTTCACTATGACCTTAAGGGGATGTATGAGATCTGCGACGAATACGCCATTGGGGTCATCACATGTTGTGAGATTACGTGATACTTTCGCCTGTGCTCCCAGCAAAAGCAGCCTCACCACCGCCGCCGCCACCGCCACCGCCACGGCCACAACAAAGCAACCGCCACTTTCTACCGCCACCGCCGCCGCCCACCACCACCACCCCCGCCACCGCCATTGACCGTTCGACATCATCATTGTGCATTTTGCCTATTGCTTTCAACCTCTTGATTACTTCTGGGCAATGCCTCGCCAAGCCGGGTTGACTCGATTAGAGACTTCCTGCTTGCAGGATCATGGGACATAGTAAGTAGGGTTATAAATACCCTAATTGCGGTCAAAAGTAAGTATAAGTATAGATACCCTATTTATAATCCCAATTACTAAGTCCCATGATCCTACAAGTGCGGAGGTGCACACCTTGACTGATCGAGGGCTGCAAGTTGTCGCTTCCCTGCGTTTGGAGCAGCTGGCCATCCGACGAATGGGTGCCCAGGCACCTGGACACCTGCCACCTTCCGACATGGGGTTCAGGGTTCAGGCGTGAGAGGGCTTCGAGTTTCAGGGTAGAGGGTATGGGCCCCGAAACCCCCAAACCCTAAACCCTAAACCCAAACAGAGGGTTTCCGAAAATAGGGGACCCTAATTTTGTACCCTTAATAGTAGGATCCTTATTGTCAGGACCCCAAAATAAGGTACCCCTAATTTTCGGAAACTCTTAAATGGGGGGGGGTTTCAAGTCTTGAAGCGACGGTACAAGCTTGCCAGCTGCAGAGCCTTTGCCCCAGTGCTTGCCCACGAGCCACGAAAGCTGGTGAACGTTCCTAAACCCTACTATAATAATGTAGGAACCTGACTAAGAAACCTTGTTGGGATTAGGGTTCCTTTAAGGGAGTATATAAGGGTTACTATAAGGGATCTATAAAGGTACTATAAAATTGTAGGAACCTGATTCAATCAGAAACCTTGGGCCTTTATTAGGGCTCCTTATATGGATCCTGGTTTTTGGCCAGGGTTTCTTAATCAGGTCCCCACATGAATGTGTAAACCCGAGAAAAGCTGGGTACAACAACGTCTAGGAATGAGGCGACCCAGAGAATTTGGGGCTTCACAAAGAAGTTTATTTGGGGTTCAAGGTAGCTGTACGAGAGTGGTCGATACGTCAAGGCCCTTGTGAAACCTGAACCTGAAACCCTTGAGCGAAAGAAAACTCCAAACCCTGTAAACCACAAGCCCTCAACACAAAGCCCCACACCTCAAACTTGAACACTAAGCCCTAAACCCCCTAAAACCTCAAACTCCGTAAACCTCCCAGACCCTAAAACCTGAACTTTGCGTCAACACCCAACGTTCCGTTTATTAAGGAATGGAATGTAGCGTGAAATCAAGTTGAGGATCCCCCTATACTCTAACGTCTATTCATTACCCAGACCCCCGGGAGGGTCTAGAAAGTAGATCTCTTAGTGGGGGTTCCTGTAAAGTACCCTTAGTAGTATAGGGCCCAAATTAGGGCATGTACTTTCTAGATCCTCCCGGGGGTCTGGGTATTATGCCTTTCTTGAAGGATCATGGGACTTAGTAATTGGGGCTATAAGTAAGGTAACTACAGTCAGAAGTAAGACATATAACCTTAATTGAGGTACTTATAACCCTACTTGCTATGTCCCATGATCCTCCAAGCATTTCAGGGCTCCTGCAGGTCTCGTGCAAAGTTCTTGCTCCGTCAGGTGTCCGGTGCCACCCTGCGGGCACTCGCGCAATGCGGGACCCTGGCTTCCTTGGACCTGAACCTTCGCCACATTTCCAGCATAGGGTTGAGTGTTCAAGGTTTCGGAAGTTTTTCGCAAAATTGAGTATTTATGTCGATGTGCCCCTAAACCCTAAACCCTAAACCCGAAACCCTAAACCCTAAACCCGAAACCCTAAACCCTAAACCCTAAACCCTCTGAGGCCCTAAGCATCTCATAAGTTTAGAGGTGTTTCGGGTTTCAGGTCCAGGCTTTCGGGTTCGGGTTGCAGGGTTCAAGGTTCAAGGTCCAGGCTTGGGGGCTTAGGGTTTAGGGGTTTAGGGTTTAGGGTTTTAGAGGTTTAGGGGTTTAGGGTTTAGGGTTTAGGGTTTACTTATGGTTAAGGCTTGAGGGTTGAAGGCTTAAGGTTTACAGTAGAAGCCAGAAAGTTGGAACATCATTGTCCCCATGCCTTTAAGGTAAAGTATAAGGGATCCTAGCACTAATCCTCCTAAAGCCATGTTCCAACTTTCTGGCTTCTACTATATGGAGGATCATGGTCAAGGCTTTAAGGTCTGGTCGTTTTGGTTGAGGGCTTAAGTAAGGTTTCGGGTTAAGGCTTCATTTCTGCAGTTTTAGGCTTCGGGGTCGAGGTCGAGGGGCCTTAAAGACTGAAGCCCTGAGCCCGTGAACCAAAAATCTGCCAAAGCCCATCAACCTCTGCACGACTTCCCCAGAGACTCCAGCATCCCTTAATGAACCCCAAGAAACCTTAAATTGTAGTAGGATCCCTAATATGATTTCAGGAACATTCCTTGGTTAAGGGATGCTGGAGTCTCCGCGAGCCCGTAAGAGTCAAAAGAATGAAAAGCCGACGTCGAGGAGTGGCAACTTACCTCCCGAGCGCGCCGCCCGCCCCAACCGCTCTGAGGGCAGAGGCTCCATGTCGCTGGGCTGATGGCTTATGAAATGGTTTTAGGGTTACTGCAAGAGTTGCTATGAGGGTCAGTATACGGGTGACTGCAAGGATTACAGTAAGGAGAAGAAAGTTTCATCTGTTTTTTTGGTGGTCTATAGGGGTCGGAACACGTTTGCTGTGCGGGAGTTTCAGGCAACAAGAAGAAACATCCCGTAATTGTCAGAAGCCTTCCAAAATTCTGATCCACTCGCTGCCGGACCCCTACAAAACCATTACGGAATCGCTCCTTGAGTTAAAGACTGAGCCACACCCTCATAAAAAATACCGCTAGATCCCCCAGGAGGTACCCTAGGTGTCTTTGGAAGCCCTAAAGACCCTGAACACCCACAGAACACCTTAATAATGCATCCTTAGGTTTAAGAACCGTGTTGCAAGAACGAGCTGCAGTGCATGCTTCTCAAGTTATTTCAGCCCGACGGGGCTTGGGGCTTCAGGTTTTTGTGAGGGTTCGGTACGAGTCCTGGAATCTAGGGTTTCATGCAGGTTCTACGAAAGTTTTACAAGGCTCTTCAAGGGTGCTGTGATTGGTGGTTTCGTTGGATCTACTTCAAAGGGTACTATGATTGGTGGTTTCGTTGGATCTACTTGGAGGATCATGGGACTTGTTGATGAATTCGTGGTCCTTAATTGGGGTTATACGTATAATTGTAACTGTAGTTACCTTACTTTTTCCCCCTACTTACTAGGTTCCATGATCCTTCAAGTAAGCTATTGATCACCGGGATTGTCTCTTCGCTATTCCAGCACGCGACCCAGGTCTCAGCGCGACGTCGAAGGATTCCTCATCAAACGCCCAGAAGTCAAGATCCGCTTTGATGCACATCCGCTACCATGATCCAAAACTCTGCTTTCTGCAGTTGGGGGTGCTGAGGCAGCTGTTTCCAGGGCTCCAAGTAGTTACTCAAAAGGTGAGTGTTTGTTCCTTGTGTCTTTGCCACTGGTGGTAGTAATAATATTAGTAGTTTTAGTGGTCATTGTTAGTGGTGGTGGTAGTGGTAGTCGCGGTCGCAGTCGTAGTCGTAGTCGTAGTAGTAGTCGTCGTCGTAGTGGTGGTGGTGGTAGTAGTAGTAGTAGCAGAAGCAGTCTTCGGCTGAGATTAGACTGTTCCAGACTGGCGCCTTTCTTCCGCCTTTTACGGATCTTGGCCCAGCAGCTCCTTCCAGCTTGCTTGCCAGTTGAGTCAGCGCTCTTTATCTTTAGCGGAATGCTACACTACTGTTGATGGTATAAATCCTGCATTACCCATCATAAGGAATATACCATTATTCCCATAGTTTAGGGTCCTCATGGTCATACAGGATTTATACTATCAGCCGTATGAGTATCACGACCGCCAATGAACCCTGACACGTAATCTGCACACATACTTTCCACACGCCCGCTGATCCATCTAGACACCTTGCACACAAGCCTTAACCCCAAACCCCAAGCTTGAATCTCGCCAAAGCCCTAAGCCCTGAGCACCAAGCCCTAAACTTCAAAAAACCTAAGCCTTGAGCCTTCAGCCTTAATCCCAAAGCCTTAATCCCTTCCCCCTAATTTTAAAACCCCCCCATCCCCCCAAGATAAAAACAGATTTCCGGGACTTTGTTTTAATATTTGGGGGGGTTTCGGGGCATCTACGACTGAGTCGGATTGAGAGTAATAATGAGCCAGACACAAAGACCGCCCATCACGCAGCCGTTCCGGCTGTAGAGCAGACAGTCCCGCTCTAAACCCTAAAGCCCTAAAACCCTGAAGCCCCAAAGCCCCAAAGCCCTAAACTCTCTAAAGCCCTGAGCGCTAAACCCTGAAACCCTGAAGCTCTGGTCTGTTCGGTCTGATTAGAACTGCTGTAGTCTTTGGCTCCTAGTGTTCTTAATTAACTTTCAATTGTGGGCCCGAAAGCGCGAAATCCTGGCTATTTTTATATTAGGAGGGGCTTTAATGTTAGGGGGAAGGGATTAAGCTTGAAACCCCAAAGCCCTACATAACCATTGTGGAATTATTGGACCAAAAAGAGCCCTTATAACGCGTTTACAGAACCTTTATCGAACCGTGTACAACCCTTCTAGAACCCCGAATCCTAAGAGAGCACTTAGCTTGAGAGCCCGCGGCTGGGGATCATCGCTGCTTGCGGCGCTCAGCAACGCCTTTGGGCTGGTCGGGTGCTCGCTTCTCCTGGGTTCTTGTTGAGGGATTTAATTTAAGTTACCATAATAAGGAAACCATATTGTTTACTATTAGCTCCCTTTTTATGGTAACTTAACTAAAATTCCCTTACAAGCAGTCTCTTAAACCCTAAGCCGCATTGAGTTTCTACCTTCCTAAACCCCACAGGATGCATGCAGCCTTAGGTTTCGTGGATCTGCAGCTTCGTGGGACAACGATATCAAAGGGTCTCGGGTCCCTTTGCGGGGCTTTCCTGTAAGGGATCACAAGATTCCTAGAAGGGTTCTAGACGGGGTCTAAAAGGTTCCTATAAGGTTCTATAAGGGTTTAGGGGTTAGGATTCAATTTGCTGTCGCCTGGCTGTTTCTAGACATCAAGCTACGAAGACACAGCATCTTGCCACTCAGTTTCAAGCCCCCTATTCGGTTTAGGGTTTAGGGTTTAGTTCAGGCCCTCGACTAGCAACCACTCTCTTCTTTCGGATTGCTTTAGAACAGTTGTTTCAAAACAATCCGAGAATTTCTTTAAAGCAATCGCTCGTCTTCTTTCATGAAGACACGGGGGCCTGTGAACCACAGCAGCCTTGTTTATCTTTTGTCTTCAAGTTGCGCATCACGAAGACCTATGAAACCTCGTCGAAGCCCCATAAAGGATCAGTAAGCAGCGATTGCGGGAGTCCTTTTTTGGACCTTTAAGGAGCCCTTACTGGAATCTTGGAAACTTGACGCTTGAGAGCCCCCATAACGGGCCTCGGGGTAGGTCGGCAATTCCCAGGAGATGGTCCTGCGGCATGGCGCTCGCATCGGCAGGCTAGGGGGGGTTGGAGCCAAATTGACAAGGAGTTCAGGGTTTTCAGATTTTGGTGCATCCTAGGATCGAAAGTTTGGGTTGGATAGGGTTTGGTGAGTTAGGGTTTTGGATTTAAAGTTTCGACAAGCCCAGGGTTAGGTGCAAGTGTTGCTGGGTTTATTTAGGACTTACCTTCGTGTTCGCGGGTTTGGTGTTTGTTACCTGCTACGCAGTATTATGCTTCTGTACGGATCGGGAGCACATGCCGAGACGTGTAGCTGTGCTCATAGAGCCCAATACCCCTTAATTAAGGAATATGGCTCAAATTATACAGGGCTTCATATTATGATTTAAGCTATATTCCTGAATTAAGGGGTATTGGGCTCTCTGGGTACATCCAAAAGGAGTGGGTTTAGTGACTTTCGGGTTTCGGGTTTACGGGACCGTCCTTGAGCCCAGTGGTCCATGTTTCAGAGTTCCCCAGACCCCATCGTGTGCCAAACCCAGAGACTCCAATATCCCCTAATTAAGGAATGTACCTTAAATCTCATATTAGGGGTCCTTCTAGAATTTAAGGTATATTCCGTAATTAAGGGAAATTGGAGTCTTTGAGAATCCAGGGTCAACCTCAAGCTGGGTGCACCTCAAACCTTAAACCCGTTAACCTGAAGCCTCTGCCTGTAGCCGAATGAACTATCCTGCCTTTTCAGGTTTCCTTATTGCGATTTCTATACAGAATTCCGTAAAGTTTCAGCCACAGGTGAACTTTAGAAAATTGCATGTTTTGATCCCAGCGACTTGCACCAGGAAGCACCCGTTTCTCTTTGGCGTAGCAGTTTCCGCGCTGAAGCTCCTTGGCCGAAATTCACCCCTCAACCCTAAACCCCAAGAATTTGACCAAGCATCTGGAATTAGCAGCCTTAAATATCCTAAGCCCCAAACCCTTAAACCGCCCCTAAATACCGATTTCAATCTTTTTTGTGTGTGTCGGCCCGAAGCCCGACAAGCCCGAAATCCTTCATAGAGCCCGATAACTTAGAAGCTGCCCCCACCCTGTAATAGTGACTATAAGGATTATACAAGGGGCCCTATTATATTCCTATTATACCACTATTACAGGGTGGGGGCCCCTTCTAACCGATAACACTTTCATGTCGAGTCTTGTGTTGGGGGTTTTCTGTTGGTTTAGGCGCAGAAACTTCAGCCCAAACGTGCAGGTTCCAAGTATCAGGTTCTCGGGTTTACGGAAACCCCACCGCAAAAACCAATTCCCTGCACCCAACAAAGTAGAACCGGTTTTGCCGCGAACTTGGGAGTTTTTCAGTGTTCAGGAGACTTCTGTTGCGTGCAGTGTGTAGGGTCTGTATAGGCTCTCCTGGTCAGAGGTCTGCAGGACTTACAGCTTGTTACCTATTGATAACTGCACTCGCAAACGTCTCTACACCGTACACCTCAAACCCTAAGCCCTTGAAACCCTAAACCCTAAACCCTAAACCCAAAACCCTAAACCCTAAACCAACTGTTGGGGTGCCCGAATCCTTGGATTCGCAATCCACAGTATGCTTCTGAAGCGTCTTTGGGTTTTCGGGACTTGGTTTCGGGTTCAGGGAAGTTTAGGTTTTGGGGTTTAAGGGTTTGGGGTTAGGGTTACGATGTTTAGGGTTTAGGGTTTAGGGTTTAGGGTTTAGGGGTTTAGGGTTTAGGGTTTGGGGTTAGGGTTACGGTGTTTAGGGGTGTATGGTAGCCGGAGGGTTTAAACTTTGGGCAGCAAGTCTCTCCTGCTTTGAATGCCCCTTGTCGGAACCTAAGCTGTTAAGAAACCGCAATACAATCCTGAGCCCTAAGTCCTAAAACCAATAACCCAAAACCCTCAGCGCAAAATCCAATGCTGACAAATGTACAAAGCCCTAAATCCTCATATCCTTTTATAGCCCCAATCGAAGCCTTCAGCCCCAACCCGGAAGCCTTGTAAACCCTTAAACCACCAAGCACCGAAATCTTAAATCCATAAACCCCGACCCTAAAAGCTGAACCCCAAATCCCAAAACCTTCGCGTCCTCCCCAACATCCTCATATCCTTAAAAACGCACAGTCCCGAAACCTTATATCCCAAACCCTAAACCCCTAAATTTAGTAGCCGTGAAAGAATCTGAAAGAATGGATGTGAAGTCGCCCCTGGCGATGTAGATAACAACCCCTGGTTGACACGCGCCAACAGCTCCCGGGCTTCTTTGGCAGCGTCCGCTATGGCTCACAATCCCCGGCAGGCGATCACTGGTTTCAGTGATGTGATTGTACAGTTGGGCCTACCTAACCCCCTGAGCCTTCGTGGCCGGAAAAGAGGAGTAAGACATCGTGAACAGCAGCTTCGGCAATGGATTGACCTCAGCGGGAATCACATTCCCACTTCTTAAATGTTTTGCCGAAGCGTTTCCATGGCGGTAGTGGCCTTCTCAATCCACTGACGACGAGTCCTGCGATCTGCCCTTTCACGAAGCACTTCATGGACATCGTGTAGCATATATCGCCCTTGTGAAAGACAAGTCCTGATGTTGCTGGCGTCCATGATTTTGGTCATGACGTCGGCTAGCTGAGCAGCTGAATGTACCCATCGAACACAAACTCCTTCGGAGAGGCGTTCCTTGATGACTAAAGCTTCTAGCAGAGTGCGGAATTCATGACACTGAGGCGTAGCTGTCTTTAGCAGTAGGTCGTACGGGCTTTTGCAGTCTACGACTGCAACGGCTTCAGGCAGTTTGGACAAAGCAGTCTCAGGCTTTCTCCAATCCAGCTGCTGGCACACAAGCCAACCCCACGCAAGACGCAGCCAGGACAAGTGGTCTAGAGCTCCTGACAAAGCCATGGTTTCGGCAGCCAGGGTGCTGTTCACAGTTC